ACGCCCAGGATGCGGTCTTCGACTTCACAACCTACCAGGCCCCCACAAACATGACTGTGGCAGACCTGATTAGACAACTATGCCCACAAGACGAACCAACATTGGAGGGTGTTGTACGCAAGTGTTGCCGGATCACTCTGTCGAACCCATCTGCTAATACCTCATGCGTTAGATAGCTCAATTACCAAATATAAAGACTCTGCTCTCACCTGTTCTATCTTCCAGTGCCAGTCCCTGATTGCTTGTTCTGTTTGTTTTCCCTACGCTTGATGGTGCTAGCGTCGGCTGCCTCGATCATGAGTCGCCGGTCCCTCTCTGAAATACCGTCAATCGCCTCTTGAGTTTCAATTAGCATCTTCAGGTGTTTTTTCAATTCTTCAGTTTGTTCTGCAGACGGGATCTGCACGGCGATTGGGATATCACCGCTAGAACTGCTGATGAAGGAAGGGACGTTTTCGACAGTATCTTGGTTAGCCGCATAGAAGGAGTATATCGAGCTCAATGTGTCACGGGCTTCTTTAGCTTTATCAGCGTTGCCGCTCATGATGCTGCTGGTAACAAGATGAAAGACTTCGAAATAGATATGTGGTGGGAAAGTCGTGCGGCAAGGAAGAAAGAATTTTAAGATTGAACTGGCACTTCACTGGAGATTTTGGGGACTCAACCGCATTTGGTAGTCGGCTGTCGACAGTGGTGGTTATATATACCTTTCCTGTGGATGTAAGCGGCACAAAAGCGTATGACACGAGAATGTAGGCAGCAGCATGATTCTGCATTTCCGTTTCTGCTCAGTTGCATGAAAGCTGCCTCCCCTTGCACCTTGCCTTGCAAATTCACCTTGGCGTCAACGTGGATGGCTATATTATGAATAGAAAATTTGCAAGGATCATGAGTGATCTGTCACATTGGCGCTTTGCATACGGGTCGTACGCAGCTCACCTCCGCTTCATAGATCCCGGATTGTAGAAGCAAAAGGAGAAGGAAAAGAATAAAAATAAATTCAAACTCAAATTAACTTAAAATGATCCCTAATATGGAGTGAATGGCTCGGTGTATTCTTCTTCCATGCCAAGCGAGGGTAACATCCATCAAACCAAGAACAGACACGGCCCATACACCCCGCTGGCGGCTTTTCTGCAAGACTGCAAGCTAGTTATTTGCCCAATCCCCTTGCCGCCTGATTGCTTGGCAATTGTGACCGTGGGAACCTGAAAACTAGCCCAACCCAACGTCGCCCTTTCTTGCGCTTTCAGAATACTTCTCTCACCAATTCTGCGGCTTCAACTTGGTTTGTGTCTTGGATCAGTTTTTTCAAACTCTCTTTCTTTCCTTTCAAAACTGCCCTCAACTCTTACAGTGCGACACTGAACATGGACTGGGACCATCTGGCTGAGGAGTCGTCCCGGAAGTTGTTTGCAAATTGGCTCAAACTCCTGTCACCCGCCATACCACTGACACTTGCGGGTCAACACCGCCCTGGCCATCAAGCCATCGAAGCTTCAAGTTTCACCACTGGCGCTTTTAATATATGCTGTACCGTCACCTTTGAAGATGAGTTCCGCGTGGTTGTTCGATTTCCTATTAAAGAGGTCGAAGCCGGTTTC